ATATGTAAAAAATGACAAGGAACACGATGGTGCAAAAATTAAAAAAAAAATATCGTTTTTTGAGATATCGTCGATTTTTTGAAAAAATTGTTTATAACAATGGCATAAATAAATGATTTGGTATTTTATTATTTATATTTTAAAAGTGAAACTCGTTCCGCGTCTTTTAAAAAAAGAATCATGTCCATATATTTATTAGTCTTCGAGAAATCGAATTAATAAAAAAAGTCCAATATTTTTTGAACAGTTGATAAGTCGGCCCCTTATCAATATTTTGATCTAAAACTCTGCACAGATGTTGACCTCTGTATAGATAATAAGTTTACCAACTTTGAATAAAATTGGTGATTTGAAGTTTTAAACTGTTTGAAATAGCCAAGAATTGCCCTATAGTTATATTTAATTCTTTTGACTTTGATATAGAGTAATAAATCCATAGGAGGTTGAAGGTCACCAAAACTATTAAAGTATATAACTTCATCACCTTTCTTTTTATATGCTACCCAGTGCGTACCTGGTCCATTTTTATCGTCTAAATTGATAACAGCTGATTCTTGATAGTGAGGTTCGTCAGATGGTAAACCGTTATGCATGAAAACACCTCGAAAATTTGCAATTTTTAGTATTTTAGCATATTTTTTTATATCTAAATCATTCAGAGCGGGTTTAGGCAAAACTATTTCAAAGTTTTTTTTTTTTAAACCTTATCCGCTCACATGTGGTTTGAGATGTAGACCATAACCTTTATTATGAGGCTTCAAATAAAGACCTTTACCTATAGCAATAGCCTCCATAGTTTTGTTATGTCTTTGAGCCTCTTTCAGCTCATTTTGAGCAGCTTTAGCGCTGTTCACAGTTTTCGCTGTTGAAGCAGCTCCTCCAGCTAGAGCTCCAGTGGCGCTTAAACCAGCAAATAATGGAAGTAAAAAAGGAAGCGCTCCACCAACTTCACTGGGAATAGGTAAAATACGTGGTATATTTATTTTCCTTCTACCACAAGCCTTTTTCACAGCTTCTTTGGCTCCTGTTAAAGCCGAACGAATAACTACAAGAGCTCGATTGTTAGGCACACTACTTTTTGAGGCTGCCTTAATAATTTTATTCAATGTAACTGGTGGCTTTTTGATTTTTCTACATTTCTTTCGTGCTTGGCGTTTTTTGAATCCTCTACCTCGTTTCTTACTACCTTTCTTCATATCAACACCCTTGTAACGGCGGTTCAAAAAAAAAAAAAGAGAGAATAAGGAAAAAAAATACCGACCACACATTTAGCTCGTAAATTAAGATGAAAAACTGCGTGCGGATGAATAAAAACGATTTTTCCTGTGAACGGCAGTTTTCGGCTCGTGCATCTGGCGACTTTCGGGTACTGGAGATTATCAGGGCGATTTTACGATCACGTCATCCGGAGTAGTCAGATTGCGCGCATGTTTAGAAAGAAGAGATCTGTAGCGCACATGTGCATCCTGCCAACAGTACTATTATTTTATTTTAAATAATTTATTTTCATTTTTGCTAATTTCTTTTAAATTAAAGGAAACAGATTTGCTTGCAGGTCTCTCGAAAAATTGCGAAATTTGTCTTCCCGTATTTATTGGTTCATTTTCTTTACGAGTTTCGTATATATAATTGTTGGGTGCGCTCAACTTTGCGTTAGACAATTTAAGAATGGCTTGAATGAAAGTTATTAATTATGTTTGTTGCAATTAACTCTGATTTTTTCAGCATTTCTCAAAACTTTTTAATAATCAATTAATAGTTAAAACTATTAATATCCTAATTGTTCTTAGATAAATGTAATTCTTAACTTTTGTTCTATCATTTAGTTTTATTATAGATTAAGAAACATTTTTGTAAAATTAGAGTACCACACACACAATTAATTTTAAATAAAATTAGTTTAAATAGATAAAGGCCAGAATAGTACATAGAGGGCCATCTATGCGAAGAGGGCCCAAAACACTAAAATGAAGCCATAACCGCACACTCCGCCCCCGGCCAATTAGGATTCGAACCTTGCTTACGCTGAGATACTCCCCAAATTTTCCAACCAATTAAGTTAAGAAAATTTCAGTTCTTCCTGCCCAAAAATGACAAAGATTTTCGAGTGGGAGTCTCTTGTAAAAAAGTATAAAAGAGATCTTTTCACGAAAATTCAGGCATTATTATTTTTTTCGAAATTCAGTTCGTTCAAAGTTAGCAGTTCAGATTTAGTTCATTCAATTCTATTTTGAATTCGTTAGCTATTCTTCAAAGTTCGTCCAGACCCAGTTAATCTTTTAGTGTGTGTGTGGGAAAACCATTATAAAAGTGAGTAAGAAAAATTAAATAAAAATTTTTACGTTCTAAATACTCTCGTTTAACTTCTCTCTCCTTACTCTTCCTAGTTTCGCGTACGGGATTTTCTTTCTTAGATAGTTACACTCGATTGCCAAGCGTGTGGTCGAGTGCATATTAGATAGGCTCCCTTTACGTTATTTTATTGCCAAGAGTGTGGTAAAATATCGCGAAGTATTGCTATATTACCTAGCGTGTGGTACAGCAAAGCTTCGATCCTCCGTCACCGAAAAAAGGAATTTCCCGCGATAGTGGTAACGCACGTCCCGGTTATTGTCCGCAAGGATAGACCAAAAAGTGCCCCTGAGAATTGTTTCGTCAACCGACGTCACACCCATGCCAAGCTGACTTTTAACTTTCATAATGTTGACTACAGTGAAGGCAGCTGCTTTCTCACCAAAACTGCTATCTTTAGCTAGCACTCTTTCCCAAGCTTTTTTTAGCTAGAATTTTGTCAGCTTTATTTCTTGTTGCAATATCCTCCAGATTTTGTGCATAAGCGATATCGTGTTCTTTACAAGCAATGTCCAGTGGATTTTTACCAGGATCTCCACGTGCCAATCCTTTGTTCAATTTTGTCCAGGAACACAATACTGATATCCAGGTAAGTGAGCTTCAATAGGCAAGTTATTTATAATCTTGTTCACTAGATCACCAACAGTCTTTCTTTTATAGTACGTGATCATACTTCTTCGAAAGACAGCATGTTAATGAAATAAAAAATATATAAGCAGTCTTTTTATACCTAACAAACTCATTTATTGAGGTGTCGATGACGAGTAAACAACATAGATTTCAAAGAACAGCCTCTTAAGGTTCAAGTCATTCATTTCGATGGAGTGGTAGAGACGGAAAAACAAGAAAAAAGACATGGTGAACTATTGTCTAATACGAGGGCGGTCCGATAAGTACTTAGCCTCATCGCCCGATGGCGCCACTGTAGCAAAAGAAATATTCTATCACGTAGTACAACCTTCTCGATGGTTACTGTCAAGATTTCAGCCGGATCGGAGTTGTAGTTTATTTTTGAGAGCGTGTGAAAGCAAGTGTGTCCGTTGATTTTTGAAAAATGGAAAAAGAGCAGTATCGGTCGGTGATTCGATTATTGTTTTTGGAAGGGAAATCGAGCAGCGAAATCAAAAAGGGCTTGGATGCTGGGTACGGTGACTCTTCTCCTTCGATGGCGACCGTCAAAAATTGGTTTAACGAGTTTCAACGTGGTCGCACGTCGATTTTTGAAGAGCCACGTCCAGGTGCTCCGAAAACGGCTACCACGGAGGATAACGTGACAAAAATTCACGATGTCGTATTGGCAGATCGACGATTGAAGGTGCGCGAGATAGCTAAGATCGTAGGCATCTCAAAAGACCGCGTGGGTCATGTCCTGCATGAAATTTTGGGCATGAGAAAGCTGTCGGCGCAATGGGTGCCGCGTTTGCTCACTCCGGACAATAAGCGCAACTGTGAGACAACTTCAGAGCAATGTCTGACGCTGTTTAAGCGCAATCCGAAGGAGTTTCTGCGTCGTTTCGTGACAGTCGACGAAACATGGATCCACTGGTATACACCAGAGACCAAGGAACAGTCGAAACAGTGGACTTTACCCGGCGAAAGTGCTCTGAAGAAGGCGAAGACTGCCCCATCGGCTGGAAGAGTGATGGCCACCGTTTTCTGGGATTCACAAGGTGTTATCTACATCAACTACCTGGAGGGAGGCAAAACGGTCACAGGGCTGTACTATGCCGAATTATTGGATCGATTCGACATCGAATTGCAGAAAAAACGGCTCCATTTGGCGAAGAAAAAAGTGCTCTTCCACCATGACAACGCACCGTCTCACACCTTCGCCGTCGCCATGGCCAAATTGGTCGAATTTGGCTACGAACTGCTGCCCCATCCACCGTATTCTCCAGATTTAGCCCCGTGCGACTACTTTTTGTTTCCAAACTTGAAAAAGTCACTCGCCGGGCAGAAATTTGAGTCGAATGAGGAGGTAATCGCTGCCACGGAAGCCTACTTTTCAGACCTCGAGGAAACGTATTTTTCAGACAGGTTAAAGAATTTGGAGCATCGCTGGGCCAAGTGTATCGAACTAAAAGGAGACTATGTTGAAAAATAAAACGCCACTTTTCCAAAATTTTCGTTTTTCTTTTGTAGGCTAAGTACTTATCGGACCACCCTCGTAGAGATAGAAATATCACTCTAAGCGATTAACTACTAGAAAAATAAAGTTGTCAATAGAGACAAAAGGTAAGATAACGAAGGGAGGCACGAAAGGAAGTCCAACCATATGAAGTAGAAATTAACGGAAATAGAAATTTGTTAAATAAATATTGACTTTTCTTATTAATCTAAATTTTATCTATATCCAATTATCCATTCAGATCTATTTCTCTCATCTTTTTGTAATTTGATTGTTTATAATTTAATAATTATTACAATTATGATTGTCCAATTACTTTCCATGTTATAAATAAAAAAATCACGATTTTTTGAATTCGAGCGTTAAGAAACTATTCTATAGAAAACATAACACAACTCATGTATAAAGTATTTTCCTTTCAGTATTACAGTTTTTAGATAAACATTTGGAAAAATTCATTTATTGCTAATTTTTTATGCTTGTACTATGGAATAAATATAAATAATATGTTCTTACGTACGTTGATAACAGCGAATACGTTTTGAAAGGTCATATTTGTGAGGAAAATAAAGAGAACTCCATTGATGTTCATAACTCCATCCTCATTAAGTTTTTGATTCATATAAATGATACCTATCAATATTGATACCATCTGGAAAAAATTTGTTTAGTTAAAATAGCTTATGAAAACTAGAAAAATCAAAATATCGTTATTTATTTTCATTTTTCAATTCATTAAATAACATTTTTTTTCACAACATAATACTTATAATGAGGATATTGATATGAAGTTGAAAAAATTAAAACTATGAACAAATTTTTATTCTTTTCTATGACATTTTCTAACCTATCGCTTTTAAATTGGAACATTTAGTTTTTCGCCCTATAACAACAAACTGTTACTATACAACATCTTCCTTTTTCATCCGATTTGTCACTTAGTGACTTTTTGTTATTTCCAAACCTGAAGAATGGCTTGACGGACAACGTGTTATGTTATACTGTGATGTCATTACCAAAACGAATGTCTATTTTGAGTAGCTTCAAGAATTGAATTTTGCAAACGATTCAAGAATTTGAAAAACTGAAAAAAATATATAAAGCTAAAAAGAAATTATGTTAAAAAGTAAAAATAAATGTAACAGTCCTATATATGAGCTCTTCTCTTGTTTTCATTGGTTTTCCGCAACCCGCTAAACTCGTTAATCTACTTACATCAATTCGTATATTAAACGGCGCCACTTTAAATATTATATGATTGTATTAGTGCTAGGGTCAAATTTCATGACCATATAAGGAGCGTGACGTCATTCTACTTATAGATATAGATATAATAGTTTTTGTTGTTGAATTTAAACTCGTTAATTAAGAGTAATTTCAATGTAACAAAATATTTTTTATATAGATTTTAGAACATAGATTAAGATTATAATATTTCCAATTACTTTAACTATTAAATCACATTAAATTTTAATGTCCAAATTTAATTTGTTTATTATGTCCTAAATGTTAATTATTATAATAAAGCGGATACTCTGAACTCAAGATAACTATCTTAGAAACATGAGTAAAAATTCGTTTCATTGATAACAGCTTAGTTATTACTGTTATCAATAATTAAACAATTAATAATTTATTTAAACAAATAATTGTATATAAGTTGAAAGGGTTAATTTTGTATATAACAATGACATCTTTATAATTTAATAATTTTACTTAACTGATTTATTATTTGCATTATAAGATTTTGAAAAAATACGAAAATTGATTATAATTCAAATGTTATTAATTAATTTAAGTAGTTCTTTTTTGGAATTACTTCTACAAGCGATAAACTATTGATATATGTAAAATTTTATAATTATTTTATTGTAAATATGCGCTATTATATTAACTAACTTTATTAGTTAATAACTTTTGACTATACTTTTTACGATAAGTGTAAATTATACTTAAATAATCCATATCTACTTCTGTCAATTTTACATGTTTTAGAATTTCGTTATTGTTGTCTATTCTCTTGCAAACAAAAGAAAATGATTTTGCACATTTGCGTAAACAGCTCGAAGAGGGCTGTCCTGCGAAAATAAGCGGAAAAATTTGTGTATAAATACGCTGACTTTTGCACAGACTAGCATTCTCTCCTATCCTTGCAAAGTGAGCTCATGAGATTAAATAAACTTGGTTTATACCTAAGATCTTTCTCTCAAGTGATTAACTAAGCAATTCTTTCCTTTCCTTTACTAATTTACGCTCGACTCATAGATCATTTTGCGCTATGAGAAACTTGGACTGAATTACATCCTTTTACAGGAGAGACTTAAGATCTGCTTATGGAATACTTCGTACCATAAGAAACTAGGGTAAAGTCTATGTTTCCTTAAGTCCAGTCCTAACAATTATAGATATTTCATTTATAATTTTACTTTAAATTTAATATTCATATGGGCCATTCTAATACTTTTCGAAAAAACCGTGCGCACTCATGTCACCGATTTTGACGCCAATTTTTTTACGTACTCTACATATAAAAATAAGACAACTTGAATTTTTTCAGATTTTTTGGCCCAATCTGGGGTCCCTAGAATTTATAGAAGCCCCAAAATTGAGCAAAAATTTAACGAAAAATGGTCATTTTCAGAGTGTCACAGGATCGCAAGTTTTTAAGTTTCAGAATCGCGCGATAGCTCATTCTCTTAGTCTTTCTGAGCAGTTTTCAATGGTTTATTTATAAATTAGTTTATCGAATCTAAAAGCTTCACAACAGCCAATAATGTAAAGCATACTTTATTCGAAATTTGCTGATATTTGAAACCCTGTAGAATCGTCAATTTTTGATATTTTTTTACGTATAAAAGCTCAATTTGTTTGTCTTGTTAAGACTAAAAAATTAAGCTGTCGCGCGTTTTTTTACGTTGAAAATTGACGAAAATACGTCCAGTCAAAGTAGATCAAAGGTACGACAAATGACGATTTTAGCCAAATTCAGCCTCCTATAACTTTTTTGTCTCAACTTCAAATTGGCTGAAAATTTGACAGGATCTTTCCGAAACCTCCCCAAACAAAATTATATGAGTTTGGTTTTGTGTATCGGCCGTTTAATAATAGATCTATGCTATCATTTTCAGCCGTTTTATCGAATTCATGAAATCACGCATTAAACTATTCAATTGGGTATTGGTCGCAATTTATCTTTGACTTACCTATATTTTTAAGCTTCTGCACACGACGCAATTCAAACGTCCAATTCAATACTCATACGGCCTGCGTGCTAACAGTCTATATGTATTTATTTAAATAATATATAAATGTATTAATTAAGTAAATGAACTATTTTTTATACAATCTGATATAATATTGAAATTAAACATTTGCTCTCTGCATTGAGCGGGCTTGAGACCGACGCATATTTAGGATGCGGCCGCATTAAAAATGTTTTTTTTATCGGACCTACACCATAATACTCTTAATAAGTTATTTACAAGTAATTTTACAAAAAAAAACCCTTTAAATTATGCGTCTTATTTCAAATTCAGAAGAGTATGAAGTTTTTCTTACTTTAATTTCCGTTGTATTGTCATCACTAACTGGAATGAATGCATGCAGTGATTGTCTTCCTTGTATAGTAAGAGCATCTTTTAATTGACTATACATGCTACTTTCAAAAATTTCATATTCTTCTTGACTACAGTAAAACAACGTTATTTTAGGCATAGCTTGCTTCACCCATTTGTAAAATTCTGCAGAATTACTTATGATTTTACCGAGCAAGCTTTCTTGTCGAGCTAATCTTTTTATACCTCCACCAATTCCATCACACGGACTTTTACCATGACAACTTGCAAAAAAATGCCACTCTGCTCTAATAGAATAAATTCTGTAATGTCGAACTAAGTTTAGAAAATTCATTCTATTTTTATATTGGCTTCCGGCACCATCACTAACATAAATAATTTTTTTTACAGTATTTTGAAATGTATTTTTGATACAACTTATTTTTGTATACAACGGAAATTAAAGTAAAAAAAAAACTTCATACTCTTCTGAATTTGAAATAAGACGCATAATTTAAAGGGTTTTTTTTTGTAAAATTACTTGTAAATAACTTATTAAGAGTATTATGGTGTAGGTCCGATAAAAAAAACATTTTTAATGCGGCCGCATCCTAAATATGCGTCGGTCTCAAGCCCGCTCAATGCAGAGAGCAAATGTTTAATTTCAATATTATATCAGATTGTATAAAAAATAGTTCATTTACTTAATTAATACATTTATATATTATTTAAATAAATACATATAGACTGTTAGCACGCAGGCCGTATGAGTATTGAATTGGACGTTTGAATTGCGTCGTGTGCAGAAGCTTAAAAATATAGGTAAGTCAAAGATAAATTGCGACCAATACCCAATTGAATAGTTTAATGCGTGATTTCATGAATTCGATAAAACGGCTGAAAATGATAGCATAGATCTATTATTAAACGGCCGATACACAAAACCAAACTCATATAATTTTGTTTGGGGAGGTTTCGGAAAGATCCTGTCAAATTTTCAGCCAATTTGAAGTTGAGACAAAAAAGTTATAGGAGGCTAAATTTGGCTAAAATCGTCATTTGTCGTACCTTTGATCTACTTTGACTGGACGTATTTTCGTCAATTTTCAACGTAAAAAAACGCGCGACAGCTTAATTTTTTAGTCTTAACAAGACGAACAAATTGAGCTTTTATACGTAAAAAAATATCAAAAATTGACGATTCTACAGGGTTTCAAATATCAGCAAATTTCGAATAAAGTATGCTTTACATTATTGGCTGTTGTGAAGCTTTTAGATTCGATAAACTAATTTATAAATAAACCATTGAAAACTGCCATTGAACCATTGAAAGACTAAGAGAATGAGCTATTGCGCGATTCTGAAACTTAAAAACTTGCGATCCTGTGACACTCTGAAAATGACCATTTTTCGTTAAATTTTTGCTCAATTTTGGGGCTTCTATAAATTCTAGAGACCCCAGATTGGGCCAAAAAATCTGAAAAAATTCAAGTTGTCTTATTTTTATATGTAGAGTACGTAAAAAAATTGGCGTCAAAATCGGTGACATGAGTGCGCACGATTTTTTCGAAAAGTATTAGAATGGCCCATATATATTTTCAAAGTTAAATGAATTCTTACTCATTAACGCGACAGCCCACGAGAGTACAAACAATATTATAAATAATAGTTGATATTAACATTACATACTCATGATATCGGCCGTCGGTATACCTCGTGATAGCTGATCGTTTCGGACTTGCTTCACCCTCTCAGCAGAGGGGACAAAGAGTAAGGTACGGAAAACTAAAGCTTTGTCCTGAGATTAATTAGCCAACGAGGGTGGACACGCTCAAGAGGAGAGTCGGAGGGTCAATCCCCTAGGGCTGGGGTGGGGGGGTCATTCGGACCCCATAAATATCCTATCATCTGAACGTATATTTTCACGTAGAATTCAAACCTGCGACGGAAAATGAGGGTTCTCATTTAAAAAGTAAGATTGACCGTGGGGGGGTGGGGTGGGGGTCATTTGGACCCCACACATATTACATGATTTAAACGTAAAATTTTCCGCTCTATTCGAATCTGGCATAAAAAATAGGGGTTTCCATTTAAAAAA